CACCAGAGGCTCCTTAATTTTATGAAACAGTTGATGCTTTTATTAATCCATATTTTGTTTTGTGCCGCCCCTCCCCCCCCCACACCCATGTAGAAATCCTCGGATGTACGACCCACCTCGTCCCCCTCCTCACAAGCAGCAGACAAGAGCAAGCTGGAGGTACCGTGCGTGTGCGTGTGCATGTGTGCGTGTGCTACAGCAGGTACATGTATGCATTCTCAGCACCTAGTGGAGCCCTCTACACTCACCCGTCTCCACCATAGTGCCCCCCTGCTGGAGCGTTTGGCTCCCTTGCCCCCTCCCCATCGAGCTGTGAACCACGCAATTCCCACTGGCAATTTTCACCCCTATTTTCACCCCCTGGAATCCGTCCTCGGTGTGCTGTGGTCTTCCCCCTCTCCCACGTGTCACGGAGGTGTCGCACCTAATCCGACGCCGCGCTGACGTTGGCGAGGGGCAGGGGGAGCCGAACATGTCGACTGAGAGCCCTGCCCGTGTCGTGGTGCCCCTGTCCCCAGCTCTAAAAGCCAGATGGAGCTTTGGTCATCCTCTCACCTCTCCTCCCCCTGCAGAGGGAGCATGCGAGGAAGAAGGAGGAGAAGCGGCCGAGGGATGCGGATAAAGGCAGCAAATCTGTGTCCTTGGAGAAGGTAGGACTGGCTTGGGAAATGGGCCATGTTTGTGGGCGGGGCTTCGCAGAGGAAGTGATGTCACCCAGCCCGCCACTCTCTGCTACTTCCCGGTGCTCACCAGTGATGCTCTGCGTAATGACACAACCCCCCCCTAAAAGAGACCTCCTGCGTGTCCCACTGCGAGGCACGGATGAGCCATGGCTTCCTGCATGGCAGGCTTTTTTTAGTCCCTTGGACCTGATCGGCGCGGCAAGTGCTTCCTGTGCACACGGTGGGGGGGTGAGGGGAGCAAGTGGGCCACTGCGGTGCTGGTGTAATGACACCCGGCGTGTGATGCTCAGGAAGTCATGCAGAATGGTGGTGTAGTGACACATGGTGTGTGTGTGTGAGTGTGTGAGAGCGTGACGTTTGCACCCCTTTGGTTTCACGGCCCGTGACACACCTCACCCACAAAAGCCCCTAATGGCTGCAGTCCCCTCTCTGATTAGAGACGACCTTTTCCTGCGTCCTGCCCATCCATGCCTACGGGGGTTGGGGGTGTGGGGGGGGTTACAGTGTTTGAAAAGGTTACCCAATAATCTCCCTCTTCCTTGCACCTGGTTTCTCTTAGTAAGTCATTAATCAGTAGCATCTGTGCAGTGTGTGTGTGTGTGTGTGTGTGTGTGTGTGTGTGTGTGTGTGTGTGTAATAAATGTACAGTAATGGAGTGCGTCTTGGTACTTAGGGTTCCTGTATTAATGTAGGATGAATCTGTACCCTGCAAGCCTGCAGTGATTAAGACAGAGGAAGCCAGTGTCCTCAGTGCCCCAGCCTGATTGAGTCCTGACTAAAATCCTTTCACAATCCAGCTTAAAAAACTGAGAGCTGGTGCCCAAATAAGGCTTCTGACCAGCAGCCGTCGAGCGTAGAATAGGGAGCTGAAATCGCACGGAGAGGGAGATGCGGAGTTTGCGAGCGTGTTGTGCCTGGGGAGGGGGGTGGTATTGCGATAGGAGCTGAAATTTCAGCAGCAATCTGTTTGATGTCTGGCAGAACGTCGGCTCGTAGAGATCTCATCCAAGCCTCGTCTGGGGTCTTTTCCAGCATGGAGGTCTTGATTCAAGTAAAATTTAATTGCTTTGTGATATTTCCAAGTGTCCATGTGGGGTTATAGCCAGTGCTGCAGTTTTCAGTCTAGGCACACTGCCCCCTGCAGGCAGGCCAGCGCAAACCGACGTAAACCTCAGCTGACTGCGACGAACTGCAAAGCAGCCGCAGACGCCGCTTTCTTAAACCATGGCCAAGGCCGCTGTCAGAGGAAATTTTGGTTGGGGGCGGGGGGGGGGGGCGACAACACATTTCCCCCTAAGCTATCTACCACGCTGTTGTTGGCTACGGTTGCGGTTCGTGGGGGCGGGGGGGCTCCTTACCTCGTCGGGGATGCCGGTCCTCTGCGGACGGACATTTCCAGCACTGAGTGGAAAGTCTGCAGTGGGACAGGAGGCCGACTTTAAAGTGACGTTACGATCCTTGGCGGAGGGAGCACTCCACCGGCATGCCAGCAGAGACACGCCGCGATTGGCCACCGGGCTGGGCGACACTCGCGCGATTGGCGGCCCTGGAACGCGGAGTCAAAACGATTGGCCTCTTCTCTGGGGAGCTTTGGCTGGGTGCTGGGATGCAGAGAAACCATGTGAAGTCTGGAGATTAGCGTGGAATCGGGAGCCTGGCTGTTGGATAAGCGTGTACCCGGACTTCCGATCCAAATGCATCCTGAGTAATGGTTTACAGGCTTCAACAGTGCCTGATGTCATCTTTCTACGTGAAAAAAGAAGTCAGATTTTGAGGGAGGTCTTCCTTCTTCTCTTGGTAGGGTGGGATGGGTGCAGTATTCACCACACGCTTCTCCACCACACGTCGATGCTATTTAGCGTGATCCAAATGTGTGTCTGAGACCATTTTAAGGAGATGGATGTGGACATTTTGAGATTCAGGGTCTGACTGTGCTGCAGAAAGACTGACAGGAAAATACCTTGCAGTCTTCCAGCACCATCTGAGCGGATTTCCAAAAAAGGAGGGGTGGTGGGGGGGGGGGAACTTGCTTTTCTCACTGAGCTGCGTCTGGCCCCCTGAGGAGTCGCACCGATCTCCATAATAACGCGACTCTCGGAGCAGACGGCCGACTTTCTGCAGCGCTGTGTGCTCTGTCAGCTGAAGGGCCCACTATTGTGGTGCTCTGTAATTTACCCCCTTCCTTTAAAGTATTCTTTCATTTGTCGTGATAGAGTGTCTAATGGGCAAAATCTTTCCTCTGTCACTCGTGTAATCAGGCAAAGTGGCCCAAACCAGTTGGATCTGGCTGAAACTTGGTGCAACTCCCATGTGTCCTTTGTAATGGACACTTAGCTTGTCCCATTGTCCTGTCCCATTGTCCTGTCCCATTGTCCTGTCCCATTGTCCTGTCCCCTTCACTTGACACCATCATTTCCACTGGCCTTAGCTTTGTGGGTGGGGCTGTTTTAAAAGCTCCTCCCCCATCATCTGAAGCCAGCCTAGGCTTGCCCCCCCCTGGTAATGTCTCTACGTTACTTGACAGCGCTAAGCCCACGCACGCGTCCCGTCTGCAGCCGTGCTCTGTGTACGTGTGAGTGGCGGAGGAGGGGCAGGCATCCACGATGGTCTCCGAGCTCCAAAGGCGGACGATCCCCCCCCCCATAGGAGGAAGCTCGGCTCCCATCTCTTCGGTGGCATGAATAAAATATCAAAAGAAAACGAGCACATCCTGCATGGGGGGGAAGGGGGGGGGGGTTCTCTCAGGATTGAGCCCTGCAGCTCCGGACGTGGAGGGAAGCGAAGTGTCGACGCTTCGGTTTGTTTGGCGAGTCCCGGGTCATTCCTCATGGTAATTGGTGCCAGTTCTGGTTATCTTTCCTGGGGGGGGAGTGACAGCAAGGCTCAGACCATTGTCTGAGTGCAGAAACACAGGGAGGGGCTTAAAGCCTGTCTTCGCTGGGGGCGGTCTGTGTGGGGATTCTGTCTTCAGAGTCATGGGGAAAACTGTCTAACCCCCCCCCACAGAATGATGTGGTGGGTGCGATTCATGGCCGCCCCCCCCCACCTCCCGATACCTGTGTTTCTCCCCTTTATGACCCCCCAAGGGGCACAGTCTACTTAGCTCTGAGAAATTCAAATCTCTTCTGGCCCTGCCTCTTGCTCCAAGCACTGTGGTGAGGTTAGAGGGGGGGGGGTGGTATGGCTTTGCGGTACCTTGGAACCCCAAGGGCCTCCTGGGCGACTTGTCACTTTTGAAGCCGTTTATTTTCTATGAGGGTGAAAAGGGGCGGGGGGGGGGGGTTATACCACTACTGCTCAATACCTTTGATGGTGACCTACTACGGCGATCGATGGAGAGCAGAGGATTTGCGAACTGCTTCCCGGTTTATCCCTGGGAGCATCTGGGCCTTCAAACGCTGAGGTCGCCCCGTTTCTTTGCTGCCCCGTGGGGGGAGCCCCATTCCCAGAGGTCACGGTTCGGCATATCCACACTACCCATCATGCACTGCGGCACCGCGACAGGTGGGCATTGGGTTTCCATGGAAGCGCAGCTGTGGGGGGTGGGCTTTTTTCTTTTCAAGTCATGAAATCACTCGATTCTCTGTAAAATGCTTAAGAGGAAAGATAAGGATTTAAAAAGCGTTAATTAAAACTTTAGTGCAGCTGCATAGGGAGCGACGCAGTGAGATGTGGGCCCCTCACTTATAAGCGAATGGATTTTGTGGGTGGTGTGATCTCTAAGCCGGGGGGGGGGGGGCTACCCTTCCTAAATGGCAGGAGCTCACAAGGCAGTCATGAGTACTGGTGGATATTTTTTTTCCCCCCCACATGACCAGACCGTTGATGGGACTGAACGCTGAAATGGAAATCAGCCCAAGACTCGTGGCGCTTTTCCACTGCCACCGAGAACTGAGCCATTCCATGAAATGGTGGTTTCTCATTGTAATTAATGTGTGAGAGCCGTAACCCTGCCGACATGGGCCTGCTTACAAGCAGGGCTGACAGCGTGACCAAAAGCTGGTTGCATCACCATTATCTGATTAGTTGAAATGCATGGAGATGCCTGGAGATACCGGTGATCTCAGTGATCTGCGTTGATTGCATAATTACCTATAGGAAAAATGGGCATGTTCCATATATTATTCATTATTAGTGGTATCGCACATTGCAGCGTATTGATACACTCCCTATAACTCGGAACTTGAAAATTAACAATGACCTATTTGAAAAAACTACTCTAGAACAATTGAATGGAGTGGATTCGTAATGTGGAATGCTAGTTCCGCTAGCATTTGATGCTAACATAAGAGCAATGTTCACAGATGTGCTAGCAGTAAAAGGAAAAAAAAATACACAGAGTAAATCGTGATGTACAGCATGTGATCAGTAAATAAGCGTCTCTCCGGTTTGATGTCATGAGCCGGGTACGGCTGGATTCCTATATGCCAGGGGAAAAGCGCCATAACGCCGCATGAACAGCGCTCTGTGCCAACCAGCCGGCTACGATGTCGTTTATGCCAACAGTGGCAGATCCTTCCGGAAAACAGTAGCTCGGGAAGGCTTCCTCTTTAAATGGGAAGAGACTTCAAAGGACCCTTCCTGCCTGCGGCTGTCACTTTCGACTCCCTCTAAAGATTCGGGACCCTTTCCTGCCGATGGGCGTCGGCGCGGTCTGACTGTCACTGGGATTCCCGTTTGATCCCTCTGCCTTTACCTCTTTAGCCTTCTCCTATTTGTACCAGAAGATGAGCTGTCCTGGATTGGCCTGACCAAACCCTCATCGGTAGGTTATTCCCGCACTGAACCAGCTGGGATCCGTTTGTCTTATGGGCTGACCGGGTTTCGATGACCGTAAAGTTAACCCAGGAAGTTTAGTTACAAGGCAAAGTGCACCCTGGATGGGATGCATAAATGGTACGTGCAGTATAATTTTTTATATATATATAATATAGTGCCTTTCACAACACCTGCCCCATGGCACTTGACAAGTGTGTGTGGCAGTCCATTACTTCATCATTTATACGAAATGGTGCGTGAAACAGAGAGAAAGGGAGAGAGAGAATGAAAGCTGGATGACAGTGGAGGAGAGGAACCAAAAACTCCTGAGTAGGGAGAAAAAAAGAAACCTCTGGGGGTTCAAGGTTGATTGGCTCCCCAACCCCCCCCCCCCCCCCCCCCCCGGGCATGATAACATTAGAGAAAACAAGCCTGAGGTACAAACTGAACGTTCACATGCACTGTGGCACTATGGGTAATTTAGAGAGGCCAGGGAGCAAACCTGCACAGATATGGGGAGACCGTGTGTGTACGCCATGTAATTCGCACCTCTGACCCTGGAGGTGCACGACTGCTCTATTACCTTCCGATCCCATGATCAGGCTTGGCATAGGATGACGTTCGTCCTCCCCCAAAGAACTCCTTGAGTGCTGATGCTTGCTACTCAGAAACATTTATCCAGGCCCAGCGGACATTGATCGCTTGTGAAGTGCAATTGTTCAGCCCTCTGTCTCTAAAAAAAAAAAAAAAAACACCTGCAAAATGGAGAATTTGCTGTTCCCAGCACCGTCTTGCAGGTTTTTCCCGCTCGGAGACATACTTAAGATTTATGTAACGTTTAAATGCCATCATGTCAGGTGTTAGAAATATATTGTTATGGAACTTGTAATAAGAAAGTGAATGCATCATTTCCTGGCTTAGGAAAATAAATTAAAACGGAAAAAGAAAACTGGGCTGGAGGGGGGGGGGGACCCCATGTTTTTTGTCTACAGCAGCAGAAGTCTGGGCTTCTGTCAGTCGTGTCTGCATCTGGACGGCCAGATGTTGTGCAGAGGTGGATGGGTATCCTCACATATCCATTGAGAGGTTGATTGGGGGCAATTTTGTCGGATATAATCCCAATGGGGTGGGGGGGACGGATCAGTGCCCAGCAGGGTTACCCCTTTCAAACTTGAAATGGTTTGGACCGGGCTGTGCATAGGTGGCTACCAACCTGCCTGTTTTCCAGTCCACCACCCTCCCTGAAGCCTCTCCCAAAGGGGGGGGGGGTCGCTCCTGGAGCCCCAGACCGCCCCCGTTACTTGTCTGGTGTGGCGGGTGCATGGAGCGTAATGCGGCCCAAATCAAATCGGCCTGCCATCACAGGGGGGCGTTCCTGAATTAGGCATAACCTTGATGGCGGGGGGAGGTGCCCCCCCTGCAGGACAGGATTTAGAGCAATTTCACAGCAATTAATGGAGTGCTGGGAGTGAAACCGATATGGGGAGGGGGCACTCGGTGGAGAGCCGGACAGTGCTGAGTGGTCTTTGGGGGGTGGGGGCTGGTAACTGGATAGTGATTGTCGACGTGTTAAGTTGTCAGATGAGGATTTTCTCCTTCACCTAAACGCCTTCAAGAAGCGATTTGGTCTGTGTGTGCCAGGCGGCCATGGCTGACCTTGATCGCTAAAGGAAGTCAGCGTCCATTGACTCTGGGGTGGGGATTGGGTGTGGGTGTGGCCCGATTGTGGGTGTGGCCCGATTGTGGGTGTGGCCCGATTGTGGGTGTGGCCCGATTGTGGGTTTGTATGTAGGTGTGTCACATAGCTTCCCATCCCCCTCTAATGTTTCCATCTTCGTTCCCCCCTTTCAGCCCCAGAGGAGGGAAGAGGACCAGCAGGAGTCCCGCCTGAGCCCCATGAAGGGCGGTGAGCCAGTGGTGGACCTGCTGGGCCTGGGTGAGTCCACGGGGGGCGCCGGCGAGCCTGGGGAGGCTTGTGAGGGCAGCAGTAGCGGGTTGGACGGAGGCAGGCGGGCTGGCGCAGCTCGGGAAGCAGAGCCAACTGTGCGCCAGTCCCCCCAGCCCCCCAGGGCACATGTCAAACAATACATCTCGCTGATGGTTACCCCCCCCCCAACTCCCAGCCAAGCAAGCGCCTCAAGTGGCTGTCCTAATAACGTGGGCTCAGAAAACGCCCCCCAACTCCCCCCCCACCCCAGCACCACCACCGTCTCATTGCCATGGGAACAAGGACAGCTATTCCAGGGGCTGCGTGGAGACAGCGTTAATTTAGCTGCCCCCCCCCCC